ATCATTTTCAATATATGGTTGTGCACCCTGTTGAACCATTGCATTTGTCTGAACACGCACAGCAGAACATGGACTCTGAATATGCACAGCACGAGATGCAAGATGCCCAGTATTAATCAAGTACTCCTCATATTGTTCCTCCCAGTACCAAAAGCGACATCCAATTCCATCTCGCTGCGCAAAAAATGTACAAAATTAACCTCAGCAAACCGATGCGAATTGAAAATTTTCCACCACAACACAGATTATAGAAGAGAAGAACTAACCTGATGGCAAGGGCAAGTGTAAAATATGCGCCCTTTATTCTCAGGCGTATTAGCCGCACGCCTAATGATTGTCTCACAATCGCAACAAGGGCACTTAATCAGAGGGAGACGCCCATTTCCCTTCCGCCGATTCGTCGACGATGAACTCGAGCCCCCTTCCATGGCGCCAATCAAATTGAAGGGCTTCACTCTAGATACGCCAAATGGAACCAATTGGATGCCCCGCATCCGAGCTTGAAGAAGAGGGCGACGAACTGAAGATGGAGGCGACGAATCGAGCCTCCCTAGGGTTTCACGGCTCAGCTCGATGGGGAAAAAAAAGCGAAACAGTGGGGGATTTATCGTCTGAGGGCTGGCGAAAAAATAAGGGGCTTAATGCATAATGCACCACCCTGGCTGTCTCCTCCCCTCCACGTTGGCAAGCCATGTCAGCGAGCAGACCGAGTCAAATGGGGTTTGGACAGGCAATGTACGGCTAAGCAAGTTTAGGGACCTGTAAATGCGATTTGAGAGTTTGGGGACCTAGATGATACACCCTTACAAGTTTGAGGACCGCTGGTGCACTTTACTCTTTTTGTTTTCTTCACTTTCTGAAATATCAACCGAAATAATGTCTACATCCAGTTTAATTGACTTTCAGTTATTAATTATTAGGATAAAAATATAAATATATTTATATAAATCCACGCTAGTATATTGTCAAAATAAGTATTTGAAATTTTGAATTTATATAAAAAATGCTTTAAATAATTAAGTTGTCACATAACTTCTTCATTTATTGTATCAAAATCGTACCTACCTTGCAAGTTGTTATATTTATACGATCACTTATAAAGTTCTTATACTAAATTGCACATTCCTGCCAAGTTGTTGTACTAGAACGCTCATTTTTCAAGTTATTGCATCAAATTGCACCCACCTGCCAAGTTGTTGCATCATGCGTGCAATTTACTCTTAACATAATAATTCATAAGCAAATGTATATTGTCCTTTTGTTGATTCAGTCTCGCGGGCTTTGTTCTCTCTGTACAGGTGCCAAGTGGATTGGCCTAAGAATGTGCTCACATGACATAGCTAGTAAAATCACGTGACGTATAAGGTATATACTTGCGTCAACGATTAGGGGCCATATGTTCTTTTTTTTTCCATAAAAGATATGTGGAAATTCATGCTTAGCTATTTTTTTTCTAGGCAAGATATCTAATGATGACAAGCTTGCCTACGGCTACAATACCATCTCAAAAAACAAAGGGAAAATTTGCTTGCAATACAATAGAAGCGACGTCTTCACATGCTTTTCTACACTCTTTTAGGCAAGGGAGTGTCTAGATTCCAAGTGACGGTCGCCTGAAATTTGCTTCTGTTACGAAATTGTACTAAACCATCTTCTCATTTCTTTCCCTCTAATATATGATTGGAGCTGAGTTGCGAATTCATTTTTTCACTTTTCCAAGGAGAACTGTGAATTCATGGTAGCCCTTAGGGTAAAACTTAGAGCATCACTAACAGTACCCCTATTCCATTCCCAATCATGATTTTTTAAGATTTTAGTTGAAAAAAAACAATCCAACAGTATCCCTAATCATCTCCAAAATTTAGTCACTCTCATCCCCGCGTATATCGAGGGCTCGCTCCCAAAATTAGCTCGCGCGCCTTCTCTATCCATCGATCTCCCGGCAGTGGATCTTGTAGAGGGGCCACATCAAGGAGCGAGCACTATTGGGGCAGAAGCTCACTATTGTTTTCGGTTGTTAGTTCAGTATGGGCCTACCTTTTAGTTTTTTTGAATTAAATTAAGGCTCTCTCTTGGAGAGATGGGTTTTTTCACTACCTATTTTCAGTTTAGGAAACCGAATAATTAAAAAAAGAAGTGGATTATTCACATTCTGTTGGTGATGCTCTTAGCCCTCCTAAAATTGAAATGTTTAAGTGAAACTGATAATTGGCCTCAATTCAAATAAAAAAGGAATAAATTTTACAAAACACTAGATTTTGGGGCACTCATAACACAAAACCCTAGGTATTAAGGTTTGTTTCGAAGAACCCTAGGTTTTGAGGCAAAATGTTCCAATAAACCTCATTATTAGAGACTTTGTACTGTGTTTATAAATTACATGGGAGGGATATGTATTTTGAGGCTAATGACGTGAACATATACTTATAATATAATATAAAATAATGGAATTATGAATCTTTGATGTAAACATGGGTTTCTTGAAACATTCTACCCTAAAATCTAGGGTTACTTGAAACAAATCATAATATCTAAGGTTTCGTGAAATTTACCCCCCCCCCCCCCAAAAAAAATGAGTATATTGTTTCACTTTGCACCAAGTTTAGCACATATTTTCACTTTGCGCTAGGATAGATCAAAATATTTCACTCTGTAGTGGACTTTATCATATAACTGAAAAAAAAATCTTATAAATCACGAGTGAACCTTATGAATCTTTTTGAATTCAGACCACTTTTCACAAAGTTTCTTTCATATTTTGTAAAATTTGATGAAATTTTTATATGTTTGATGATGTATCCTGATGCTAAGTGAAACTCATTTGAAGCTAACTGATATAAACTGAAAGTATATGTTCAATCTGGTGTAAAGTAAAACGGATGTGTTTTACTAGTGTAAAGTACAATTTACTCAAAAATAAAAAATAATGAGCCCACTTTTTTTTCAGAATAGAACGAAAGCATCCCGGCCTTTGCTCAAAATAGCTACAGCCAATTATTATAGTCTAGGACTCTAGAAGAGTGTAGTCTAAATTAAAGCAACCACACCAAACAAAAGAAGAAAGCCAAATAAGACAAGGAGAACATTATTCCAGTCTATTGGTGAATCTTCATCCATAGTTAGCACAGAGTTGCATAATGAGCCCACTCGTCCTTTCTCTTTAAAATGTGAGACCTGTTGTTCCATCTTCTTGTACCGCGAGGACAAATGTCTCTACCTGTGCACGCATACTATACCTGTACTCCTATATCACACCTACCAACGAAAAGATCCACACTTGGGGTGTGTTTGGATAATGGGAAATGAGAGGTGGGATTGGGATTGGGAAATGAATGAAGGGTTATGATTAAATAAAAGGGGGAGAATGAATGGTTAGGATTTAAAGATATCTTTTGATGGGTGGGAAATCATTTTCCTATCCCATTTGCCAAACATGGCCTTGTAGTAGACGAGAGGCCGGTTAAAAAAGAACAGAGAGAGAGAGAGAGAGAGAGAGAGAGAGAGAGAGAGAGAGAGAGAGAGAGAGAGGCCATTTTAAAAGAACGTCAAAACATGCAGCACCATGCCATGGCAGGATAGGAGTAGATCTGATCCAGATGAGGTCCCAACCCCAACCAAAGGCATAGCCACAGCGTCATGGCGATGCAAAGCCCCATATTTCCAAGATCCCATTGGTTGGCCCTCGGCACCAGCGAAGATGATAAACTGTTAAACACACATTGGATTCCTTCCTCCTGCAATTCTTACCTCTTTGGCTCTTTGCCATCTAAAAAATCTAGTGGTCACAACTCACAACAAAGCAGCACATTATGGTAAATAAATTCATTGTTCCAAACTGACACATTTTAGACCAGAAAAACAGAGCAAATGAAGCTATACATGTATGGATGGATAACGAGCTCGTTATCTTAACGAGCTATTGTTAATGAGCTAAAAGACTAGCTCGGCTCAGCTTGTGAGCTAGCTCGTCAACGAGCTATATGACATTTATATCATATTAATAATTACAAATATACTTGTTGCATTTTATAAGTATTAACATAAAAATAAACAGAAACTAATAAAAAAACTCACTAAATATAAATAATTTGATGTAATTAAAGATTAAGCACTAGTTAAGAAGCGCTAAGTATACGAAGATATGGATATTTTGTACTAACGAGCAACTCGTGAGCTAGCTCGTTAAACTTACAAGCTAAATTGCTCGGCTCGACTCATTAAGACTACGATTTCAAGCCGAGCTTGCCACGAGCCAATCCGAGCCACGAGTTCGGAATTTTTTGTTCACCCCTATATGAATAGGATATGTGAATCCAGCATTTCTTCTCCACTAACACTGAAGAATTTTACCGAGGTAAAAAACAAACTGAACATCTGAACTTCATGCACCCAGCACTCCACTGTTAACATCCTCACAACAGCATGGAGAGGAGGCAAGCAGACAATACACATGACACAGCACATGATAACAACAGAATAGAGAGGGTCAGGGAAAGGCTAGTTCTTTTTACACCCAAAGGCAACCCTCACCTTTATTAGTGTTCAATCATAAAAGAGATCTGCAAATTCATCTTTGACCTGCATGATTGCACCCCAAAGATGTAGCAGCAACAGAGCCTGATGCTTTGCAGAGGTGCAGATCACACTTCACAAGAAACTTCCACACACCACACTTGATAAAAAAAAAAAAAGGAGATCTCAATCATGGAGATTGGAGGGCAGCAGAGCTCAACCATATACATTCTGTTTATATGCCAATAGTACTATAGTAGTAGTACTAATTCGTACACGGCCCACGTCAAACAGAATAAATGTGAATGGCCTTTCCATGAGGCAATTAGGGATCAAAGGTATTTTAGAGGAAAAGAATGGCTGCTAAAATATCTCACATGCTGTTTACACCAAAGTATGGTTACTTAAAATACACTGATTTTATATGCGGGCGTGCATCTGATGACACATTATCAATGAGACAATGAACAAATCATGGTGGCAAAGGGTTAACAATAAAGAAGGGGCAGATTTGAATTTATAAGGAAAGAAAGACAGCTGCAATGCTGCACAGGACCACACTTTTCAGACATAACATAGTTCCTTCTTTCAAAACTCACAACAACATACAAGAGGGTAAAAAAACTGATGGAAATGCAAAAGAAAAATATGGCACGACATACCCACAACCGTGCACAAGAAAAATACGAAACACACCACCAACCAAGATCTAAGATACAGTATTCTTTTCTTGGAAAAAAATTATGTACATAGAAGTAGCATGCACAGCTGGAGGACAGCAAATAAGAAATGACTTACCGAAGTCAGAGGGAAAGGGGAATGTGCAATCAGGCCTGCAACTCAACTTGCTTCCTGGATTGGTTAGAAGCATTTGCCCGTGGTTTTGGATCAGACTTGGCACTGGTGGATCTGCAAATCGAGTTGCTGTTGGTCGCGCCCTTTGCTGCTCCCCCACCAACTGTTAATGCACACATAATAAATGGCTTGCTGAATTACAACATTGTTGGTTTCGAGTAAATACATGAAAGCAAAAGGAGATGAGAAGCAAGTTTCTAGAATGATGCATAGCAAACATGGAAGTCATACAACAATCAGAATGAGAATGGAAACCTAAGGCGGCAAGGGCCCAAGCAGCTGATCAACTAAAGAGCTGTACAACCTTCTTGCAGAAAAAATGTTTTTGTAATATGACGCTTACTTGCCAATGGAATATGGAAAAAAATTGCACCATTTGAACACCTAAATTAGTGGTATAAAAATATTTAAACTAAAAAAAAAACTCTCGCAGCAAACACTACTTGGTAGTCTACAGTATATGGTTTCCTTAGGAGAGAAGGGTTCCAAATAATGTCCAACAGATTTCTGAATTATTGCCAATAACAAGACTACTACAAAACCGAGAAAAAAAAATATGTATAAGTTATCGATATTGTGTTTACCATTAGTTGGCAGAGATAACCACTTCTTGACTGGAGTATTCGCTTGCACAAGCTTGGCTTTTGGTTGGCATGTGGACAAAGACGCAAGATCTGTTGGCTGGGAGCTGACTTCTTCCAAAGCTTCATCTGAAAGCTTTGACTTTTGTTTGCATGATCCCAAAGATGTTGAAGGTATATTTGGCGACCGTCCAAATGAAGCACAAGTTACATCAGAATATGATTTTTTATGGTTTATGCCTTTCTTCTTGTTAGAACCATTAGAAAGGGCACTTGAAACTTGAACTTTCCCCTTTGGTGTGATCTGAGACTTTGTTTCCATATCCTGCTTATCATCACACAGTGGCATAGTTTCTTTGGTGTTACTGTCAAGCAACCTGTTCTCCCATGGACGTACAGCCATCCACCTCTCTAACCAGTTTGATCCCCAGTGGCTGTCATCAAGTTCAAGTCCTTGCGGAGTTGTAGGTTTCTGTTGCCTGGAACCTGCTTGTCGCTGACCAAAACAAAAGGCATAACTTAATGACTCCAGAGCTAAACGTATATTGAAAAGGACTACAGAATTGTGGGGACATGCAGTGTTGTTATATTCATAAGAGCATTCTCAAATCTTAAGTTCTCAACTGCAACAGATAATTTTCCATGATCATTAGTTGAAACTAAAAATTACAGAGGGCATCTAAAAAGTCTGATCTACTGTGATTTATCCGATAAACATATAGATTCACAGTGAAAAGAATGACACGAGCAACACCTAGATAAGTGTATTTCTGCAGTTTACTATGATATGATCATATGACTAGAAAAATTGCACTTTGAACCGAACAGCTAAATTTGGAGATACAATTGTATTCACTAGACAACTGAAATGCTATGACTGAAAATATAGTAATACTTGTTATATAACTGTAATAGTTGTACTATCTATATCTGTAGCAGTCCTTCTCCATTTCTCATTCGATGAGATGATTTCTATCATTTTTTATTTCACTGATTACTGCAGGGACTTCTAGCCCACAAAAAGTATGAGGCGTCATTCATGTTACTGGTTAATTATATAGATAAGCAGCATCTAGCAAAAAATGATATATTTCAGGTAAACATAAATACATATGAAATCAGTATTTGATACTACTGTTATTTATCACAACAGTTATTTCACTCAGACCATCACTTTTTAAATCTATGTTTAGATAGATATATTGAATAAATTGCAACCAGAGTAAACATGTAACATACTGTCATTAAGTAACTTAAATATCAGTTACCCACCAATTATTAAGTAGATAAAATCCATTATCCACAACTATCTTTCTTGATTATCACATTGACTTCCTAACTAATTGACTATAATAACACACATATTTAACAAAGCATTGAGTGCTAGACTACTAATCTACTAATCAAAGTTTACCTCACTTACCAACTCTCAACCAGTATTTGTACAGAAGTATATAGGTATACCATCCAAAATTACCTGATGAGTCAAAGCATATGCCATTGCTCTCTCACGCTTAGCAGCAGCTTCCTGCCTTTTCAATACTTTAGCTTGCAGTTCTTCAACAGAACCAATACTGCCACACCAGCGTTCCTGCATTTATTGTTGCAGAAGTAAACAACATTATAAAACACTGTCTGCCAAGAAACATATTTATCCCACTCATATTACTTGGTTCTATTTTTCCACACGTAAGTTATTGGTACAACAGGCAGTGACTTATTCCAATGCTACAAAGAACAGTTAATGGATGAATATAACCCACTATTCATTCAAAGCGTTAGGGATAAACCACACAAAAGCTGAATATTATATAGGTGTCGACTCAAGGCCAAGTCAACCCCAAGCTTTTTTTTTCTTAACCTAACCCATCCTCTGCTTCCTCACTCCATTTACATCCATCTGATACTAGCAGTAATGCATGATTTTGTTTTCTTAATCCCAACCCACCCTCTGCCTCCCCACTCTGTCCAAATCCATCTGATACTAGCAGTAGTGCAGTACAATGGCACTGATGCCATTGTTGCTACAACCTCCTTCGCCAGTGCTCATCACCATCCCATCTCCCCTACGGACTGCACCATGATCTAGCCAGGTTGAGGTCTGGCTTTACCCAGAATGGTATAGGCATGAAACTTAAGCCAATCCTATGGTGCAAGGAATTGTTTGTAACTTGCATAATAGTATAGTCACGTTTCTTAACATATATTGTTTCCACACAAAAAGTGCCATCTTCAAACACAAAACGTGTTTCCCAATCTTCAGAGGGTCAACACAACTTAAGCAAATTGATAGAGCTGATAGGAGAGATTAGTTTAGATGGGGATCCTGACAGATTTATTTGGCCTCATGAGCAGAAAAAGGTTATTCTTCAAAATCTATGTACGGATTGCTAACTTTTGGAGGGGAGATTGATCAAGAGATGATGGAAGTGTGGAAAAGTAGAATATCTTTGAAACTCAAACATTTTCTTTTCCTAGCTGTTAGTGATAGAACTCAATGTGTTGTTCAGTTAATAGAAAAGAAAAGAAAAAGAAGAAAGAAAAGAAAGAAAAGAAGAAAAGAACAAGAAAAGACACCCCAAGAAGAAAGTGGAGGGGAGTGAGTTGTGCTAGTTATGTTCAAAGAGAGAAACTATCAATCACACCCTGTTCTTGTGACCCTTAGCAAGGTTTGTGTGGTGTGTTGTCAGAGATGTGTTGCGTCATAATGTGATCATCTATGACATAAGTGGTGCTCTGTCTTTGAGGCCAGGGGGTTTTGCCAGAGTTTGGCTGCTGGCAAGTATCTGCTGATCATTATGGCTTACTAGGATCGACTGGGTAATTGAGATCGTGTTAGTAAAATTGGCTTTGCATGTTGCTTATGAATCTGTCTTTTGTGCAGCACTAGCGTACTTTTGCAAAAAGAGGAAGGAAAGGAGGCATTGGACGAGTGGGTTACAAGATTGATGATGTGAGTGAGAGAAGTGAAGACAAATGATCTCCCTGATGTGATGTGAAGCTTCTATCATGGTGTTTAGTCAGTAGGCAGTCGTGGTTTGGAGTTGTTGCCAGGGGATCTTTTGAAGTTGTCAAGTACCAAATGTTTGGTTTACTTTTGCTTGTTTTCCTGTCCTGTGAAGACAATGTGATTTCCTTGGTTTTCTTGAAAGTCGGATTAATATATGATCTGCTCTCTTTCTGTACTCCTTTAGAAAGACCACAATGGTAGTGGTGAGTGGTAAATCTGCCACCACCCACCACCACTGCCATGTAGGTCCCTAAAATAGTGAGGTAGGTGGACTTGTGTCACTTTCCTAACCCCAAGTAAAATAGTGAGGAAATTTTATCTTAAAATGAGGTGCAAAATGATGATAAATATTACATGAAGATTTTACGATAGGAATGATTTTATTTTAATTTTTAGGGCTTTAAAGTGTACAGTGGGGTTTTCTTTTTAAATTTCCATTGCAACATAGCTATTAAAAAAAGTGCCATCTTCAAATAAGTAGGGAGGGAGCAGAAATATTTTTTTATCCACAGTGTTGAGCAAAATTTACATGTCAGTATCATATCACTCGATAAATTTATAACAAGGTGATAATCTATACGATGGAAGAAAGATTATGTGTCAAGATATGTAGAGTCAGGAGAGGAAAAGACATCCAAGCATATAGGTCTCAGTATCTTGTCATAATGACTTTTATAGGATTTGTGACCTACCTCAATTTCTCGAACATGATTCTCATGATCATCTTGTTCAGGGACCTTCTTCCGTGCAACTTGGTTCTCTAAAGAAACACGAACTTGTCTTGCTCTGACACGAGCTTGAGCTCTTACTAGAGCTTGCATACACTGAAGTGTTTCTGATGTCTGCTTTCTTATGATATGACCCCTTACAAGGGCCTGCAGTATAACTATTCCTTTCAATGCCCGTAAAGCCCGTCTAGCCTGGTAATCATAAATGCAACAAAAAGTTCAAATTCTCAAACACAGAAGACTATGAAGGAAGCCTGAAAATCATGAGCTATGTTTTTACTAAAGCCTTTTGCTTTCATAGTCTATGCTATGTTATACACAAACGACTACATCTGGATAGTTTCCTAAGTTTAATTTAGCAAATGAAGATTCAGTTTCATGTGACTATTTCTAGATATTTGAAAAATTAACTAGAACCTCTAAGTACTAAAATACTTTCTCCTTTTTCTTGGATTATCTTGTTCAAATATAATACATTTGCTCTTATCACATTCTGACAATTTCTGCATTGTTTATTTGGATAAGTCCTCAAAACATGAAGACAGTCACACTCATTAGTGTGTTTACTATACATGCAGAGCAGAGACCAGAGACAGCATGCTATCAGTTATCTAGCATAGTGATATTCAAAGGGAGCATACCAGGAATGCTCGAAACGCAGACTGAATGAGTGTTGCAGCCACATCCTCTTTAGTTTTATGCTCTTCGGTTTGAGAAATATGTACTCCAAGCAATGTACTGTCTGAAGAAATGGAATCTGAAACTGTCTGCGTGTTGGTGTCATCAGTCAATGGTTCACTTTGCACTGCAAGTTCTTCTACTAAGATTGCACGTTCAGTATCCAAAGAATGTTTCCGTTTGTGAAGCAACTGAGCAGCAGGGGTGCTCTACAATAATTTTAATACATTGTCATGATGGTAAGACAGCCCAGTAAAAACAGCAGTTCATGCCAACTTGTACAGCAGTGGCAAAAAGAGTCAAGAAGGAATATGTTCTCAAAACTTAAAACATACTAATGCACTCTGGTAGTTTGAAATCAAGCTTATAAAGTGATACTTTGGGCAAGGGCAGCATGAAACACATACTACGATACTAAACTACAATATATATCATATTAATAATTTAAAATTTTATTTAATTGAATGGAAGTAAACAAAATGAACAGCATGAATACTCCTATTACAACTACAATAACGGTCTTTAATCCAAGCAAGTTAGACATGCTACATTTAAATAAATAGCTAACACTCCAGTGGGCAGTGGCTGATGCATTTGCATAGTAATGCATTGCGAAGTAGAATAAAGGAAAAGAAGTCAAGAAAAAAAGACAGACACCCAAGGAATAAACAGCAGTGCAATCATTTGTTGGTTACACAAAACAATCAGTCATTCCTCTATCTGTAATTACCAGACCAGTAGGACACTAAAAACCAAAGCAACCACAACAGTACTCCAATATACCCATTTGGTTTTCTTTCATAGGTGAGGAGGGTTACAAGCACTAGAACAATGATGGTAATGGCATATTGTAAGGAGCCCAAACATTTACTACACCAATACAGAACATTTAATATCCAGGTATTGCCACATAATCTGTGTTGGGCACTCAGAAGAGTAGTTGTGCAACAAGCATGTGACAACGACATGTCAACAACAGCACTTGTGTGGCATCCGCCGAACCAACTCTGGTAAACCATCTACTCTTTTGCAATTTTGCTCACTCTTCAAGATTTGTCATGTTCTGACAGAGGAAGACAAAAAACAGTAGAATATCCACCTATCAAGCTGGCTCTAAACACTAGAAACAAAAAAAAGGAAAAAAGTTGAAGACAGACAAAACAATCATTACTCCAGACTTAGTCGATCAGAACAAGTACTTGCTACATAATTACACGATACAAAATCTTGGTGAATACCATAACTTACTGTTTCGCAGCTCTCTGCATTTTGTGCCTTTTCTTGTTTTTCTGCATTCCGGGCCTTTTCTTGCTTTCTTATACCAACCAGTGATTTAAACCACTTCGATGAAATACCCATGACAAACAACCTTTTTATATAGTTCAATGACCTGCATTTCAGAATATTGAAATGCTTACCATACAAATGAGCAATCGTACCTTCTGCTTAAGACTTATGAAAAGGAACAAATAGTGTGTATAGTAAAGGAACTTGCTGATAGTCAACATCACAATTGCCAGAACTTCAAGCAACGGATAGCAATAGTAGAGGAAGAGCTAACACACACAACTTGTTGAAACAAGAAACCAAAATATTCAAGAGCCTTCACATAATCACATGAACCATGAAAAGAAAAAAAGCATAGCTACAAGAAATTATGAAATAAAATGATTAACAAATAAAATGATTAACGGCGATGCAATACAGAATCTAAGTGGTTTACTAAATCTCATCGAAGCAGACAGAAAATCACTGAATCTAAATGATTTTTTTTGATCGGACTGAATCTAAATGATTAAGTGGTTTACTGGAAGTAGTCATCCTTCTGCTGTTTCTCGTTGTCACTGAGAACTTACAAGTACACAGTACCATCTAGACTGGCATGAAACTCGTAATGAAAATGTTGATACCAAATGCTATAATTGCTAACCGTTAGCTTAATTATTGTCCGTGCACAAACTATTGTGCGCATCAGATTGAAAAGAAAAAAACCATAAAAACCGTCATCAAATCAGATCACCCTAAATCCATATCCGACTCCACATTAGCTCAGAGAACTTCAGAAAATGCGGGCGATATAAAATGCAAGACAGGATGAAGATTTGAAGGAAGCAAAATACGAACGCATTACACCGATGAACAGAGCCCGTACTGCTTTGAAGCTGCAAATGGTGCTAGATATTCATGAAGAATTTTCCAGCAAAAGAACTCCAAGCATTCGACACAGGAAGCAAAAGCAAGATAGAAGATTCACTCCAAACCCTCACCCAAAAATAAAAAAGGAAAGAAAAGAGGAAGATGCGGCTACACCTCAAACGAAACCAGCTTTGGGGGCAGAGGGGGATTCGGTATTTCGGTTGAAACCCTTTCGAAGAAAAACAAAAAAAAAACCCTCTCGATTAAGCACTGCAGCGCGCATCAAAGAAATCCGGAAGAAACAGCACAGCACGGCGAGCACGCAGCATCGAAGTCAATAATTGGAAGAGAAAAAAAAAAGAAACCAATCCAACCCCAATCCGCGCCTCGCCTCGCCGCATCATGGAACCGCACGGAGGAGGGAGGAGGAAGGCTTACGAGGTGAGCGAATGAGGCCGGCCGGCCGCGCACCGTGTGCCTCCCGTCCGGCCGCGCGCGCGCGAGGAGGCGAGGCTGAGGCGAGGCCGGCGTGCGTGCGTGCCACTGCCACCCTTCCTCCGTCGGGAACAGCGAGAGGAGAGAAAGAATAGTAGACGCCCCACGCGGCAGGGTGGCTCGCCATTTTCCCCTTTTATTTTTTTATGGCAAAGAAAAGGTAGTAGTAAAAAATGAAACTCGGACGGACCCACCAGTAAAACTCAGTTCCATCGGTAGTAAAAGGTGTGGCGGAGTAGGTAAAAAGTCATTTATGGAAGCATGACCCGCACACGTGTCCATTGTCCAAACATAACCTTTTGCATAGTAAATAAAAAATAAATATACTCCGATAACGGGAGGGAGTATTGTAAACTGTACAAGTACTGATGTACATGTAAAAGACAGCTTCTGCTCGCACGTTAGAGCAAGTTTAATAGGATAGCCCACTACTAACTCCAAATTATCTATAGCAAATGTAATAACCAATTCATACAATAGTTACTTGCTATACTATTAATACTTGGTCCCACTTGTCATACATACATTACGTCTTAAAGTTCGTGCTGCGGCTAGCTACAGATCTGTAGTCCGCTGCTCTTCTCTCTCTTTCTTTATATCTTTAAAATATGTTTATAGTTGGCTTATAGCATGCTATTGTACCTGCTCTTAGACTATCTGTCCGGAGCGTCTACAGTGTAAACACCGGGGTCCGGGGTCCTCCGCCTCCGCAAGCATTCGGTAGACTATTTTATAACCACGTTACCAGCGTCATTCCCATTGTACTACTCTCGGTTGAAAATAATAATAATAATAATTTAGGAGTAGATGTATATAGTAAGGCCTGATTTAGTTCTCAAAATTTCTTTTCCAAAACATCACATCAAATCTTTGGACATATGCATAGATCATTAAATATAGATTAAAAAAACTAATCGCACGGTTAGAGGGGAAATCGCGAGATGAATCTTTTGAGTCTAATTAGTCTATGATTAGCCATAGTGCTACAGTAACCCACATGTGCTAATGATAGATTAATTAGGCTCAAAAGATTCGTCTCGCGGTTTCCAAGCGAGTTATGAATTTAGTTTTTTCATTCGTATCAAAAACCCTTCCGACATCCGGTCAAATGTCCGATGTGACATCCAAAAATTTCTTTTCACGAACTAAACATGCCCTAATTCACATCCAATAATAGATTAAAATTTTCTTTTGTAAAAAAAATCTTTTGGTGGATAAAGTATTTGGCATAGCTCCCAACTTTTAATTTTGACATGAACCCCACCTCACGTTTTCAGTTTATTTTGCGAGAGAATTCTAACATGTTCCACTTGTCTTTTAAGCGAGCTATGACGGTTTGGTTGGACTTCAGCTCTAGAAAAGATGGAATTGAAGCTATATCAAATACCCCTTCCATCCCAAAAAAAAATCCTAGATTTAAACCTAATTCCTAAACCTTCTACTCTCAAACTTCTACCAAAATTTAGGAAGAATATTTTAGCAATAAAGTGAAGCCCTAAGATTAAAAAATACATAACATAGCTCTTGACATATACTTTTAAAAGTGGAGTTTTGTCCATTCCACTTTTCCTTCCTCGCACATGTAGCGCTCCACTACTTGTGTAATCCAACTTAAAAAAAAATCCTTCTAGAAAAAGAGGAAAAGGCAAACCCGTCTACCGTTGACCATTTCGTTAAGAGTAAATTACACTTTACACCATATTTAGCCATTTAGCATATACTTTTACTTTACACCACTGTCCATTGATTTAAGTTACACTTAACAACATAATATACCATTAAATATATATGACCGTAAGATGATATGTATGACCGCCAAAAGTCACAAAGAAGATATTAAGAACAATTGAAACAAAAGATGTAAAAATACCAACTTTTAAAATCATAAGAGGACAAAAGTACCAATTGGGTTCGGTTTCAAAAAAAAAAAAAGGTACCGATTGGGTTACTGTTTTCATGAAAACCTATACATTTTTTACTATGCGATGCAAGAAATTGCCTATTTTATGACTTTGTGCGAGACACATTAAATTATTAAAAGTTTATCTGCATTTGTACGATGCAAATCACTACATGAACTACATTGACGTCCATAATTGTTCTACATGGCACTTGTGCAGGTTGCTGTTGGAACTGAGTCGAAGCATGAGCACATGACACCGGCAGGAGAGAGTTAACATGCATGGTACTTATCGTGTGTCATATGGGTCCATGTGTTTCTGATCGGTTAAGGTGGTGTTTAGATCCAGGGACTTAACTTTAGTCCCTGTCTTTAGACACTAATTTAGAGTATTAAATATAGACTACTTACAAAACTAATTACATAAATAAAAGCTAATTCACGAGACAAATTTTTTAAGCCTAATTAATCTATAATTAGAGAATGTTTACTGTAGCATCACACAGGCTAATCATGGATTAATTAGGCTCATTAGATTCGTCTCGCAAATTAGTCCAAGATTATGGATGGGTTTTATTAATAGTCTACGTTTAATATTTATAATTAATTTTCAAACATCCGATGTGATAGGGACTTAAAAGTTTTAGTACTATCTAAACATGGCCTAAGACTCGTCGTTGCCATGGGACTTGGGCTAGCAGGCCTACAGATGGCATGCAACAAGCATGACCAGACCATGCAAGCCCACAGATGGTATGCAAGGAGCACCACTAGGCCAAGAGCCTATGTGTTCTAGCGAACAACAAACCCGCCGTGTTGTACCCGCTACCCAATTTCCATACAAAAAATGAAAGAAAAATACTCCGTGTCAGAAAAAGATCAACGAAAGGGGAACTTTTATAAGACGAACGACGAATAGAAATGTTTCGAATTTTTTAAGTAGTAGAGATAGAGATCGTAGGGATAGAGATAATTCTGACTTAAAGAAAAAGTGAAAATCCATACGCACCATCTCAACGGTAAAAAAACTCAATGATAAAGGAATCTGGCAACGGCGCACGGAACGGCACGTGCCTCAATGCCCGGGCCCAGCAACAAACAGCCCATCTCGAGCCCAGTCGAACACGAAATACGCGTTCGCTATACAGGTTACGTACTCTCTGCTCCCTACATTAGCACTGGCGCATCGACCTAACCAAACCCTCTTTCTCTCCTCCCACTCCGCTAGCTCCGGCCACCAACTTTGACCCGTCCTCCTCCTCCGCATCCCCCATCCCCTCCTCCCCGGCGGCGGCGGCGGCGCGGAGGCGGCGGCACGGGAGCGGCTAGTGGTTTCGTCGGCGGAGGCGGAGGCGGGGCCAAGATGTTCGGGCGCGCGCCGAAGAAGAGCGACAACACCAAGTACTACGAGATCCTGGGGGTCCCCAAGACCGCCTCCCAGGACGACCTCAAGAAGGCGTACCGCAAGGCCGCCATCAAGAACCACCCCGACAAGGGCGGCGACCCCGAGAAGGTCCGAGCCCGATCCCGATCCCCCACCCTCCTCCTCCGTTCTACCGGATCTCAGGGCCGCTTGCTCCCTTTCTCGATCCGACGCGATCTGGTTCGATCCCGTCCCGTCGCGGATGATGGATCGGGGGGCGGGCGGAACATCATCTCGTTTTGTTACTTTAGGCCTGGTAGGATTTGCAGTCTGCGGTTCATGTGGGGGGAATTTGGGCGGCGAGCGGGCGGGCGATCAAAGATTTGCTCGGTTTTACTTGTTGCTGAGGGGGTGGGTTAGTGTGAATTGTGAATTTGTGATGCGATCATGGCCATGATCTTGGGGGTTTGTGGGGGGAACAATAGACTGGATTCGTAACATCAAGTAGACTGTGCAGATTCTTCTGCTACAATAGAACCAATAGAGGAGACCACTGAAACAGCGATCCGTGCGATCTTTAAGTGCTTTCAGAATTCAGATGTTCGTTTTCCCAAGTTTTATGCGCTAGTTACTTCCCAAGAATTTTCCGCTGCGCTTGAGGTTTGCTGGATCATTTTTAATTTGCGTTGTGGTTATCTATCAAGATCATTAGCTAGCTGAAATGGACTTACAAAGTCTGTTTGTGTTCAGATAGTATTCATTTTCAGAGAACCATCTAGCTCATTGCTGGGTTGTAATCTTATACTGACACCGTAAGATATTTCATTGTTCTCATTCTGCCATACCTCAGCGAAGCATCTATAGCTGTGAAATGCCCCATTGAATCTAGCTCATTGCTGGGTTGTATTGTTATACTGACCCTGTAAGATATTTCGTTGTTCTCATTCTGCCTCAGCGAAGCATCTTTAGCTGTGAAATGCTCCATTGATTGCATCTTTAATTCTCGCATCGGATAACATCTTGAGTAACGGCTGTACTGGAATGTTTAAAACTGGTAGCATTAGGGCATTGTTCTTCAGGCAAAGTATCCTTTGGTGATCATAGGACTACTCATTCTAGCTGTGATTCAAATCCACTTGCTAATTAATTGTTTAGGAAAAGCGCTTGTTTGGGTAGTCCGGTAATGTGACTTTCAATTAAATGTTTCTATATGTTGGGAGTATTTTGTCTGTTTAAATCCTATTAGATTTTGCTCTGCCCCTTTATGTTTAGCACTGTATCTTACATGATGAAATATTGTTTTTAATTCTTATGCTCCTTATCATAATACTTCTGAGTTCGATACTTCCTCCGTTTCACAATGTAAGAGTTTCTAGCATTGCCCGCATTCATTTAGATGTTAATGAACCTAGACATGTGTATGTGTTTAGATTCATTAACATCTATATGAATGTGGGCAATGCTAGAAAGACTTACATTGTGAAACGGAGGGAGTATAAATTTTGTTACTGCATATTGGAGTCAACAAATGCTTATTGTCTTATTGAATGCGACATGGAATGGCGAATATAGCATATATCCATATAGTGATCACAACTATATTTCCTTTTGTTTACTGCTTTTTCAGTCATCCATGTATTCATAATCTGTAGAATGAAAGAGGCTAATTTTAGGCATATCTTTGTTTTAATTTTATCTCAGTTCAAGGAGCTTGCACAAGCTTATGAGGTATTGAGTGACCCGGAGAAACGTGAAATCTATGACCAATATGGTGAAGATGCCCTCAAGGAAGGAATGGGTGGAGGCGGATCCCATGTTGATCCATTTGACATCTTTTCATCATTCTTTGGACCTTCTTTTGGTGGTATTTTTTGAAGACAATACATTTTCCTGTGTGATTGTGTTGAACTCTGTTAATCTCTTGTTTTGTTGATGTAATGAAATTTCGTTTGTTTATGTTTTGAGCACAGGTGGTGGCAGCAGCAGGGGCAGAAGGCAAAGGAGGGGAGAGGATGTGATCCATCCGCTTAAGGTTTCTCTAGAAGATCTTTACAATGGTACTTCAAAGAAGCTCTCTCTTTCCCGCAATGTCCTCTGCGCCAAGTGCAAGGGGTAAGTCTGGTTTGCCCTAGCATAGTAAACTATGCATTTTCACAATCCTGCTCTTGAACATTACTCCCTGTTCATTTCAGCAAGGGTTCCAAGTCTGGTGCTTCCATGAGGTGCCCAGGTTGCCAGGGGTCTGGCATGAAAATCACCATCCGCCAGCTGGGGCCTTCCATGATACAGCAGATGCAGCAGCCTTGCAATGAGTGTAAGGGGACTGGAGAGAGCATTAATGAGAAGGATCGCTGCCCAGGCTGCAAGGGCGAGAAGGTTATTCAGGAGAAGAAGGTTCTGGAGGTTCACGTTGAGAAGGGGATGCAACACAATCAGAAGATCACTTTCCCTGGTGAAGCTGATGAGGCGGTATGATTGTTTCATCTATTAGGGTAGTTTCTATAGATTGACTCAATGACCAGAACTATATTGAAGAATGTTTTACTTGCAGCCTGATACCGTTACGGGAGACATTGTATTCGTCCTCCAGCAGAAGGACCACTCCAAGTTCAAAAGGAAGGGCGATGATCTCTTTTATGAGCACACCTTATCTCTGACTGAAGCACTTTGTGGTTTCCAATTTGTCCTGACACATCTGGACAACAGACAGCTGCTCATTAAGTCAAACCCCGGTGAAGTTGTTAAGCCTGGTAAGACCTTGTAGATGTTAAGAGCAATGTAGTATTTATGCAACTGTACTTGTCGGTAATCCTTGTCTCATATATTTGAGCAGACCAATTCAAGGCAATAAACGATGAGGGAATGCCAATGTACCAGAGGCCTTTCATGAAGGGGAAGCTCTACATTCATTTCACGGTGGAGTTCCCTGATTCCCTGGCGCCTGAACAATGCAAGGCTCTCGAGGCTGTGCTTCCACCGAAGCCTGCATCCCAGCTGACAGAAATGGAGATAGATGAATGCGAGGAGACCACGATGCACGATGTCAACAACATTGAGGAAGAGATGCGCAGGAAAGCCCAAGCTGCTCAGGAGGCGTATGATGAGGACGATGAGATGCCTGGAGGTGCCCAGAGAGTTCAGTGCGCGCAACAGTAAGCAGAGTATGTCATCTAGGAAACTCGTCATTGGTTCACAAATCAACGTCGTCGCAAAGGTTTGCCGTAAATTTTTGGACCCAAAGATGATTGTGCTCTGTTTCCCGTTGCGGCGAACATGAAGATAGTGAAGCTGATTTTACACCCCTTAAGCCGGGACTGTATCCCTTTTGTTTGCGACTTAAAAAATGCTACTCGTATCTAGTAATAGCTGGCTACGTTTTACTATGCTGTGAGACTCGTAGAGTTTTACCTCCTAAAAAGAAACTCGGTATGTTGTGAATGCTACAACTGACACTGCACCGTGTGCAGTGGCTCAACATTTTTTGTGGTCAGATGGCTATGCTTGCACCGTGAGACTCGTAGAGTTGTGCATCTAAATATGCATTTCTTCCTTTGCTGTTCATCCTTTGTTGTTTTCATGGTTTCTGTTATCTCACAGAGTACACATTGCTTTCTTGGAAATAGTTTGATACTGAATGGATAGCGAAATGGTTAATGGTTACGAACACCAATGATGATGATATGATGGATCAGAAACTGTGATATGGATCAATGAGAAACTGCAGAAGAAGCAAAGCGGAATGGTTCATCTAGGGCGCATTCTGGGAGGCGACGTACACCTTGACGCCGAGGGAGCAGTAGTTGCCGACGGTGCATATGAAGTAGCGGACGGCGGCGGAGCCGAGCGTGACGACGGCGGGGCCGTCGGTCCAGTCCCGGTAGGGGTCGTCGGCGGTGCAGTCGTCGAACTCCCGCCTCCCCACCTGCACCACGTTGTACATCCCCGTCTCGAACCTGAACACTGCACCACCCAGCAAAATGTAGTAGCAACACGTACTGTATTATCCATCCACCAGAATAATTGAATAAATACTGGTGATGATTGGACATTTTGGATGTGCGTATGTGGTGTGCTCACCGAGGTTGTCGCCGGCGACGAACGTCCGGTTGTCGGCCCAGGCTCTGTACAGGCCGGGCCTGGGAGGGATGGACCAGATGGAGCCCCCCACGACGTGGTCGGCGGCGAGGACGTGCGGCGGCGCGACGGCGGCGGCCACGAGGAGGAGGAGGAAGACGGCGAGGAGCGTCGTCGGTTGCTGCGGGTTCACGACGAGGCGGAGGCACGCCCCTTCCATGGCTGGCAACTTCACGTCGACGGCGGTAACTGCTCTGCAGACTGCAGTAAAAATGGCCCCGAGGAAACAATTATGGCGTCGAAACTGTCTCGTTTGGAGGAAATAAGGCCATGTTGTTTAGATGGGACTAAAACTTCTAAGTCTCTATCACATCGGATGTTTGATATTAATTATAAATATTAAATATAGACTATTAATAAAATCTATTTATAATCTTGAACTAATTCGCGAGACGAATCTATTGAATTAGCCTATGTGATGCTACAGTAAACATTCTCTAATTATGGATTAATTAGGCTTAAAAAATTGTCTCACAAATTAGCTTTTATTTATGTAATTAGTTTTGTAAGTAATCTATATTTAATACTCTAAATTAGTGTAGAATAAAGTTAAGTCCTTGGATTTAAAAACCACAAGTTACTCGAAACTGACTCGTTTGGAGTAGTAACTTTTTTTTTCTCCGAGGAAATTAATGACCACGCTCGCCATTTAGCAGTTGGTTTGGCGATGACAGTGCATACTAGAAGTTAGAACCGTCATGCTCTGTTCGATTGTGAGGGCCAAGGATAATCCAATATTATCCATGTGAAAACCCAAGACCGTCGATTTTGAGTGTGTATGTCGTCATTCCAATTAAGCTGCAACTTTATTTTGTTACTCCTCTCATTTTAATATACGACGCTGTTAACTTTTCAATATAAGATCACTTTTTTTATTTAAAAATTTTTGAATTGATTTATCAATGTTCTTTTAGCTAGACTTAATTTTATTTTTTTTATATTTACAAAAAGAATGAATAAGATAAATGGTCGAACGTTTATAAAAAAAATCAAAATCAACGGGTATTTAGGAACCTTGCGCCGTCACTTGATGGAAAAATTGGTGCTGTGCATCCAAATTGAGGAGTTTTGGCGAACCATTTTTTCCTCTTATTGATTGGCCACACATACATATTAGTCATTTTACACGTAGAATGGACATAGCTGAGAAAATAAAGCAAAGGAAAAAAGAAATCACACAGGAGTAGGAGGCGTAAAATATGCTGCAAATGTACTACAAGATATTCGGATCTGACAGGAAGTCGTTAAGGTGAGTGTTAACGATGGGTAGTACTGTACTAGTATCATTATGTAAGACGACAAGACATGGGTTCTTCTCGGGATGATTCGGATGAATGTCTTATGCGGTGCTGCTCACTGATGATTTGGATTGATGAGGTTGTTTTTATATAGGTTGGTTTGTTTAAGAAGTCTGTTTTTTAGGGTGAATGATTTTTACGGGAGAGAAAATGTTTTTACTTTGAAGTGGAAGATGAGATGGAAGGGAACGGCTTTTATGAAGAAGTGGGACAAGTACCTCTTTAAAATAGTAGAGATAATTTGTTATCCTACACTTCACTATATTTCAGTCGTTTGTTCCACTATCATTCCAATCAATACAATATCAAACAGAGAGCCATTAATTGGGTTAGGTTTCAAACTTGGTTGCCACAGTTTTAAGAAAGAAAACCCTCAAACTCGTGTCCCACTACTTTGACTGTGTTTTGACCCCATTTCACAATGACGAGAAGAGCCTTAGGGTGTGTTTGAGAAAGAGGGGATTGAGGAGATTAGGAAGATACGTAAAACGAGGTGAGCCATTAGCACATGATTAATTGAGTATTAATTATTTTAAACTTCAAAAATAGATTAATATGATTTTTTAAAGCAACTTTTCTATAGAAATTGTTTGCAAAAAACACACCGTTTAGTAGTTCGGGAAGCGTGCGCGCAGAAAACAAAACTATCTTTCTCTCTTTCTCCTGCGCTCGAACACAGGCTTAGGGTGTGTTTGAGAAGAAGGGGATTGAGGAGATTTGGAGATACGCAAAACGAGGTGAGCCATTAACTCATGATTAATTGAGTATTAACTATTTTAAATTTCAAAAATGGATTAATATGATTTTTTAAAGCAACTTTCATAATTAAATTTTTTTGCAAAAAAGACACCGTTTAGTAGTTTGAAAAGCGTGCGCGCGGAAACGAGACACAATCGCCTCTGTCCCCCAGAACAAACAGAGCCTTCGACGCGTGAAGTTCAGCTGCTCATCCAGAAAACTTTGCAATAATCAAGTCAATAATTAAAATGACTGGACTTGTAGACTTGGACGCGTTCTACAAACAAGACGATTACAAACTCAAAAGAAAACACAAAAAGAGGAAACAATGCAAAAATGTGCCCCCAAGCTTTTCCTCCAGTGGGGCCTCACGGTCTCACCTCACGGGATAGAGACCAACATTAATTAAGAAGCTAAACAAGCACTAACACATCATGATTAACATAACTAACCAGGATTAATTAAAGAGAAGCTTTTGTTTGTTTAAGCGTTGGCGTAACAGGCTTAGGTGCCCCTTCATATGGGGAAAATCCTAGAAATTTTATGGGATTTCAATTCTATAGAAAAAAATTTTGTATGAATGCCTTTGAACTAAAGGTCAATTCTATCCAGATTCTTGAAATTCCTATGAAATGGATAATCTTATAGAGATTTTGAGAAAATAAGAGCTCACAGCTCTTGAAAAATTTCATTTGAATCTATCTATCTCATCCGATTTTTGTGTTTTTTCTATAGTCTAATCAAACGGTCATTGCTGTCTTTTTTCTGTGTTTTGCAAGTTCTGTTTTATATTTCCATTCCTGTTGGAATCATGTGTTTTTCCGATTCATTCGTTTTTTTAAACCTTGCTATACACACGAAGAAATTCATACGAAGCTTGTACGAAAACTACCTTACGTACGTGACTTTGGTGACCACACCACTAAAAGCCTACCAAAGGCCACACCCCATTATCAATAAGCACACTGGATTCTTCTAGTAGGGGGAAAAAAAACAAATACCCATTCCAAAATAGACACATTCAGTATCATGCTGCTCGTTCGTAGCTTAGCTTGAGCAAAGGTGTAGAGAGCAAGGATAGAATAATCTCAATCAAACCTATGCCCATTTAGGCAGGACCGCAGGAGAAAATATCGATTGGACGTAGCCATCGCGGAGGTGGCCACTATACGCTCAGCTAAAACCACAATACGATATATATACTTGCTTGATATACTACCTATTCACTTCGATGTTGCAAAGGACAATGGTTAGTTGTGTAGTAGTCGATGGTACGTACTATGAGAATGAAATAATTTGATTTGCTCGTTTTGAGATTGGACACATACATGCTATGTATAAATTTTTCTCAGTATCATAAATTTGTAGCAAAATAAAAATATCATTTGGAAAATAGCGAAACCACGTCTGTATTGTTTATGTGCTTAATACTCGTAAGAGGATTACCGTGTATAGCCTGAAAAGGTAGGCTGCACGGCCCGTACCTTTTCTTCGTACATGCTTCGTAAAAGAAGTTTCGTACGTGTAGCCTTTTCCTTTTTTTTATTCGTGCGATTCAAACGAGACCTTATTTAGCTTCCCCATCCACGGCAACAAGGCTAGGCAGTGTCCAAAAAGAAAAAAAAAACATAAAAAAAACAAGGCTTTCCAAGAAAGATTCTGAGAAACCCCAACCCCAACCGCCCCCGCGCTTTCTCTCTCGCTCGTGGTCGCGTCGCGGGCAGCTGACTTGGCCAAGAAGAAGCTAGCCTATCACAACTCTTCTCGAGCTTATTAAGAAGGCGCTCGCCGCGAGTGCGCCACGCCCAGAAGCCTCTGCCTCGCCGCGACCGCGAACGCGGAGCGCGCGCCCCACACGGAGACGACGCGGCGGCCGCGGCGCGAACGCGCCCTGCAGGTTTGCTCGCGTACGCCGGTGTGGCGGGATGATGGACGTCATGGACACCGAGGAGGCGGTTCACCTCGTGGTCGTCGGGGTGGTGGCCGTGGGGGCGGTCGTCTTCCTCCTCGCCGCCGCCGCCTCGGGGGCGTGCGGTTGCGCCGCCGCGTTCCCGGCCGCCCGGTGGAGGAAGAGGGCGCAGGTGGGCGACGACGACGACGATGTCGAGAGCGCGCTCGGGGGCGCCACCACGGTCACGACGTACGAGCAGGCGGCGGCGGCGTCGTCGTCTTCGCCGGCGGCAGGGGCAGCGGCGGAGGGAGCGGACACGTGCGCGATCTGCTGTCAGGAATACTCCGGCGCCGACAAGGTGCGGCGGGTGGTGCGGTGCAGCCATTTCTTCCACGCGGGGTGCGTCGACGGTTGGCTCCGGGAGAAGCGGAATTGCCCGCTGTGCCGCGCCGTGCTGTCGTCGTTGCCGCCGCTTCCCAACCCTGGCTGCCGCCGCGGACGAGCCGCCCCGCCGTGTCCGCCGCCGCTGCCGCCACCGTTGTCGTCGGCTAATTACTTATCAGGATTTTGCAGATCTCATTTTGTTTTGGATTATTGAGGCCGGTAGAGGATTACGAGCTAGAGACAGAGTGAGCTGAACTTGGGCACGTCATTTCCCGGGTGAAATTATTGGCGTCAAAGTTTTCGATTTCTTCTCTACATTTTCTTTCCAATTGTAATGCTTTAATTTTGCATCAATCGTGTGAAATTTTCAATTCCCCAATATTTATTATTCCTACTGTCTCCTTAACACTGAAGTTGTCTCCAGGAATTGGGCGGCGTATTGGAAGAGAATATTCAGATTATTCAACATATTTATATAAATATTACTTAACAATGACTAATTATCTCTTGTCTACCGTCTCTTATCTCATACTTTCATCTCATTCAACATATTTATATAAATATTATTTATTTTGTTGTGACATGTTTTATCATTGAATAAACTTGCAGTATAACTTATATCTTAGCATATTTACACTAAGTTTTTTAATAAGATAAAACATCATTTCAAAAGCCAACGGTGTTATCTACTTGAAAAAGGAATGTAGTAATTGTTATCTAAAAAATTTAGCAACATCTAAAATATCAAATTAATTTCATTTAATTTAGCATTAATTATATTTTAATAGTATGTTTCTTCTGTGTTAAAAATACTACTATATTTTTCTATAAATTCAGTCAAACTTGTAAAAAAACACAAACAACTTATCGTAGGAAACAGTACAGATAATTAGCATAACTAAACCAAGATTAATTAAATAAAGCTTTTTGTTTAAGCGTTGCCGTAACAGGCTTGCCCACACGCACGTCGTACGGCAAACAAAGCTACTAGGCTAGGCAGAGGGGAAATTCACAACCCCCCCCCCCCCCCCCCCACACCCCCACAACACACCCAACCCCAACCCTGTCGATCCCGCGGTTTCTCTCGCAACCTGACTTGGCTAAGAAGAAGCTTCTGCCTCTTCTCCACCTCCATCTACTTAGAGGCGGGAGCCGCGAGTGCGCGACGCCCAGAAGCTTCTGCGCCTCGCCGCGAACTCGCCCCCCGCCCACACGGAGACGCGCGCTGCCATCTCACGTACGTACGCCGGTGGCGGTTTGGCGCGGATGGACCCCGACGCGGCGCTTCGCGTGGAGCTCGTCGGGGTGGTGGCCGTGGGGGCGGTCGTCGTCGTGCTCGCCGCCGGCGCGTTCCCCGGCGGCCGGTGGAGGAAGAGGGCAGCGGCGCGGGTGGACGACGTGGAGCGCGCGCTCGGGGCCGCCACGCTCATGACGTACGAGCAGGCGGCGGCGGCGGCGGCCAAGAAGGCGTCGTCGTCGTCGCGGGCGGCGGCGGCGGCTGAGGAGCAAGGGGAGGACAGGTGCGCGTACTGCCAGTCGGAGTACGCCGGCGCCGACGAGGTGCGGGTGGTGCAGTGCGGCCACTTCTTCCACGCGGGATGCATCGACCGCTGGCTCCGCAAGCACCGGCGGTGCCCGCTGTGCCGCGGCGGGCTGTCGCCGTTGCCGCCGCTTCCCAAGCCTGGCTGCCGCCCAATGCCGCCGCGGACGAGCCGCCCCGCCGCTTCCTCCGCCACCGCCACCGCCTCCGCCGCCGGTTAATTTACTCATCAGGATTTGCAGAGCATTTATCGACGTAGGATTACCAGAGAGACAGAGAAGCTCAACTTTATTTCGCGGGTGAAATGGTGCAAAATTTTTCAATTACTTTGCTAGATTAATTTCCTTCCCAATTGTAATGCTTTAATTTGCATCAATCGTGTGAAGTTTTCCCCCATTTCTTCGATTGAATTACACCAGTATCCAATGCGAAATGCATCACAAATGTCTCCCTTAACAATGAAGTTGTCTAAAGGGATTGGGTGGAGTATTGGGAGAGAATATTCAGATTATTCCTCCATAAACAATGACTAATATGTTGTCTACCATCTCTTCTCACACGCGGTTACTTTGGCTACTTGTGAGCAATGTGGACACTGGACGGAGTCACAGTCTCGGGTGAACTCAATTGGAGTCGTTTCGACGAAAGTTACAGTTTAATTTCTCATGACTCTTTGAAAACCTTATGTAAGGGTGACTGCCGAGGTCTTTCCTTTGCATTGCCTGTTTCTTCGAGTTCATTTTTTTTAGGAGCCATTGACTAACTCAGTTCTTGGAAAAGAAACATTTCATATATGGTGAGGAAGCTCTACATCAGGTTAATTAGGTGTAATTGAACCTTGCAAAAGGTCACAAAAAAAAGTTTCTATGTTAATGTAGGTGTCAGTGTCACAATGTTGGCTCTTTCTCTGAGATTTTAATTAGTTACATGTCATAATCCACCCAGGAACCTCCTGATTTCAGTTTCTGATGCAGACATGTTCCAAATACTCTTGCAAAATCTAGGAAGATTCACTCCAAGTCTCGTAACAAGGCCCACTCAAGCGAGAGAAGCAGAGTTACAATTATCCATTAAATTCACGCCAAAAAAAGTATAATTATGAGATGTAAGAGTAAATATTTTATGGTATCATCTTTTCGTTTGTGCTTATGTTTATCAGCCAAAATTTAAATTTTCAACCTTAAATTTGTAGCTAATTTTGAGTTTTTTTTATCGAAGTTTATTTTCAGCCTTTGTTTTTAGATCGCTAAGAACATATATAAAAGTTTTATTCACAAATTATTTTTTATTTGCAAATATGCCGTTCCGCTTATTCCGAGAATAAGCGAAACGATGGCCCCGTTGGATCCTTGATTTTTAACACAAGTTGTAAAAAAAAAAGAAGCAAAATTCACAGCTTAAGAATCCTCATAGGCATGTTCAGCTTAGATGATAACTGAACATGGTTTTAACAATGGCATAAATGGAAGAAAAGACGAAACTACGGGACGGTGGTAGAAGCTCCAGAAAAGAGTTGAAATGGCTAAAACGACTTTCATTTGGGAATGGCAGGAGTAAATAAAAGGAAAGCATCTTCTAAGAAACCATGACAAAACGTATTTAAGACAACCTCTGAGGATCACTACTACGTATTAAACTTGGACAAGAACCAAAAAGCAGTTGACTTGTGAAGAATTACTAGTAGAGGTTTGATTGTTGAGGAATGAGGAGGCCATGCCAGTCTTCTCAGAAAGCGTCAACGTCTGTGGTAAGTTGGAGAGGGAGGGAGATGGAAAAGTGAGGTCATCAAAGAATTTATTTAATCTGTTTTACTAACAAATAGACACACTTTTGCTTTATGAATTGAATCAACATAAAAAAAAAAGAGATAACTTTGAGAAGTCCATTTCATTTCCTTGGTTCTCTGTACTCACAACCAGGCAATTCCCCTGGATGCAGTGGTGAAATTACTAGTACTCTACTACTAGTAGGCAATAACCGGTTGATGTGTTCAAGAGCCTGTTTTTGAAAGAAGGGAGCAATCAATTCAACCTCGAGGTGACAAAGCTCGATCTGGAGCCTCTGATTTGTTGCTTAATTTGGTTGGTGGAGATAGATTACACATGATAAATTACATAAAACAATCAAAAGAATTTCTCCTGATCCTGATGACATGACAAAAAAAAAATTGATTTTACATGCAGTGCTTGCAAGAATGAGCTCCGGTTCAGCTTCAGCTGCAGAGAGGGCATGGCACGAGTCCGTTCTCGTTGCATCCGGTACACGGCACGCGGCCGCCGGCGGCGGCGGCGGCGTCATAGAGCCTATGACTGCCGCTGCACGCGCCGCAGACGACGAACCAGGCGCCGCCGCAGACGGCGCACGCGGCGTCGCCCGCGCCGCGGCGTGGCGCGCGGCGGAGCACCGGGCGGAGGCGCGCCTGCTCGTGCAGGGTGACCACCTCGTTGGCGCCGCCCAGATACCGGCCGTCCACGAACAGCCGCGGCGGCACGGCGGCGTCGTCCAGGCCCACCAGAAGGGCGCGGAGCTCGTCCCGGTAGGGCGCGTGCATGGAGACGTCGCGCTCCAGGAAGGCGACGCGGAGGCCCTCCAGCAGGCGGCGCACGGTGGCGCAGTCCTCGAACGTCTTGCGCACGCCGCGGAGCGACGTGGTGTAGAGCACCACCGCGCGCTCGCCGCCCGGCGGGCACCGGGTCTCGAACCCTTCCAGCGGGTCCTCGTCGACGCCAAAGCCGACGCCGCCCGCCACGCCGCAGCCCTCCTCCTCATCCAACAAGAAGAAGCCGTCGTTGTCGTCGTCGTCGCGTCGCTTGGCCTCCTGGAGCGCGCGGGCGTAGGCGTCGACGGCGCCGCGGAAGGCGGCGAGGAGGTCCGGGTCGAACAGCGTGGCCGTGGCCGGGTCGGGCCGGCGGTAGTACGCCGCGGCCTCATCCTCCGCGGCGCCCAGGCTCACGCGCATCTTCTTCGCCTTCCGCGGGGCCACCTCCGGCGAGACATTCTCCTTGTCGTCGCCGCCGCCGCCGCCGCCGCCATCAGGCTGCTCCTCCTGGGACCGGCACGGCGCTTTCGGCGGCGGCGGCGGCGAGGGCTGTACGTCGGGTGCGGGGAGGAGCAACCCGGGCTGCACATTGACGGCATTGGGGAAGGATTGCAAGGTGCGGAGGATTCTTGATCTGAGCCCCCGCATCCTCCTCCTGATGCAAATGGAATGGGAATGGGGAATCGATCTTGCTAGAAGAGGAGGACATGTGGGTTGTGTGGTCGGTTTGGGTTAATTAAGCTGTGGGGCGCAGATGGCGAGGCGTTGCTAGTACTAGTGGTATTCTGTGGGTTGGCTTCCAACGGCTACTAGAGGGAGGGAAGGAAGGATTTGTCAGCGTGGACGGACGAGAAGATGTCCCACGCCCCGTCGCTTGTCGTTTTTTCGAAGGCAACGGCTACCGCCTAAATTCCGACCCTACGCCGGACCACAACTCCACGAGTACAAAGAAAATAGAAAAATGTTACTACTCCTGCAGGATGAACCGAGCAAGATGGCTCACTGCAACTTTCCCTGGCTGAATTTTACAGGGATTAATAAATCCTAAAAAAAACTTAGAGTTCAAAAGAGATCTCGTACGTTATATATATAACCTTGCAAAGGATTAAGAAATCCTAAAAAAATCTTAGAGTTCAAAGAGATCTCGTACATTATATGTATAACCTTGCAAAGTATGCATCACGATTTGAAGTGAAGTAGAACCTCTTCTTCTTTAGATTATTAGGTCATACCTAAAGCACTCGTGATCTCGAGCCTTCATGTTGGAACTGAGTACACATGATAGTGGGGACCGTGATCTCGCAAACCTTGCGCGACCTGCTCACTTCTAGAGGTATCGGTTGTCTCAGCGCGTTTTGGTTTCAGAGCAGTGAAACCACAACTCGGGGGGGGGGGGGGGGTTGACATGGTCATTGTCGCCGCCAAGGACTTCGACGAGATAGTCATTGCTCTCCACCACCATAGATCCAGCTAGCTCATGGCCAAATCCGCCACCGCTACTCACAAAGAAGGAGAAAGACAAGAGGCTAGTGGTTGGAGAGGAGGGTAGCAAGACGGTAGATGAGGAGGACGGGGAGAGGCGGAGATAGGCAGTGGAGCGGCACTGAGGTGGCAGAGTCGTTGGGGTCATCAGCAAAAAATAATCGGTGGAGAGGGAGAGAGAGTGGAGGAGGGAGAGTAAAAATAGAGTGGGAGAGCTTTACAGTCGGTCAACGTGGAGGCTATGGGTACATATATACTTCTTTTTTAACGTCTAATGTATAATCCATTATACCATGTCACTGACTTTGTTACCTGTCTACGATTTGCCACTGACTTTATCACGTTCTACAATATGCCACTCCATTTAGAAGTTAAGCAAAAATCGTGGCATATTGTATAACGTGGCAAAGTCAATGGCAAATCGTAGACGTGTGATAAAGTTCGTGGCATATAATAGATTCCCTCTCTAAGAAATATCATAAAGACGGGGACAAATAACAATTAGGGATTGAAACATAAATTACAATTTAAGAGTGGTCTTTTTTTAAATGTGTAGTGTGATTTTTTGTATGGTCGTCTGAACACGAATCTAATGGCACATAGAAATTAGGAGTAACTGTTGTTTAAAATTTTATCCTAACAAAAAATATATTTTTGAACGGAGAGTACTTACTTTTGTAGTCTAAACCAACCATATATTTCTGAGAAAATTGAAACCATACCATTATAATTTTACAAAATTTAAGATATGCCATTCTGACCCACATGTCATTGACTCATGTGGATCTTACATGTCATTGAGATACCGATGACATATCTCAAACTTTGTAAAAATTATAATGGCATGGTTATAATTTACCCAATATTTCTCTGCACGTTCTGCAAAAGAACTCAAAACTGTATTCTAAACATGCGAGACCGTATGCATTACAGTGTAGATATACATAGGATTAATTAGCATGGCAAAGGAACTAATACTGGTCGGTTAGTAGTGTGAGTCCAATCACAGAGAGCGTGCGCGCTTAACGGCTAAATGACAATCTTGCGAAGGGCCTAAAAATGGCGACGCCAAGGCGGCCCAACCATCTTCGAAATGCGGCCCATGACGAGCCCACCTCTCCTCTCGCCCTCCTCCTCCTCCTCCCGTCTCCTCCTCCTCCGCCTCCTCCTCTCCCGCCGCCGGAGCCCCGCCTCGCGCTCCCCTCCTCCTCCCCTCCGCCGCCGCCTCCCTCTCCTCGCTGCCTCCATGTCCTCCTCCTCCTCCACCGCCGCCACCAGAAACCCCGGCTCCGTCGTCGCCGACGCCGACGGCCTCGCCCGCAAGGTCGCCGCCATCCGCGCCGCCGGCCCCGCTAAGCTCCAGGCCAGCGCCGACGAACCCTCCTCCTCCTCCTCCATTTTTGTCAATATCTTGTGGACTGACTAGGGTTTGGAGTTGCCGCAGGTCATCGCGGACTTCGACGGCACGCTCACGCGGTACTGGTACGACGGCTCCCGCGGCCAGAGTATGGGTGCTCTTCGCTTCTACAGTCTCTAGTTTGATTCGCTTGATGAAATTCCAGTGGCTTTTGACATTTTTGTTTGGAGGGAGTTTGAGAGGTGTATGTGTGTTTATGTGGTGGTAGGCAGCCATGGGTTGCTGAGGCAGGGGAACGAGGAGTACGACGCCAAGAGGGAGGAGCTGTTCGAGCACTACCACCCCATCGAGATCTGCCCCGACATCCCGCTCCCCGAGAAGGCCAAGCTCATGGAAGAATGGTGAGGAAGTAGTTTAGTGAGTAGTGCTGCAAATTTCCACCCTATTATCCTTTGGTACACCGATCAGGTGGATTCTGTTGTGGTCAAGTTCTCAAGTCCCAGTTGGACATATTTGGGAATTTAGCATTTAAGTGATGACGAAGTGAGAGTGGTGCTGCATACAACATTTGATTTTGATGCTTATGCTTCTTCATATGTCAAGCTTAAATGTGTTGCATGGATTGCAATCGGAGTGGAAGCCTTTCTTTTTTTTTTTTTCAGATTTTGTGCAATCTTGATGCGCTTGTGATATTTCCATGCCATTCATCAGTTGTCCAGCAAATACCATGATTGAATGTTCAGTGTAGGCACATTGCCTGCAGATTATTCACGAAGTCTAATCAGTCCTGATGCCATTACTTGCTACAGGTGGGAGAAGACACATGCTCTCCTTATCGAAGGTGGACTTACATATGAAGCTATAAGGCAATCTGTGGCTGATGCTAAAATCACTTTTAGAGATGGAGTGGTGAAGCTCTTTGAGTTCTTGGAGGTTTGGTTTTCTTTTGCTGTTGCAGATTTGGGTTAAGTTCTAAAGTTTAAAGGGGGATGCAAATTGTGTTGTATACTCCTTTGGAACATGCACATAGTATTTTGGATTCACTATATTTGGTAAATAATCACTAAAAACAACGAGTACACTAATATATTATATTAATTGATGACAACAACGAAGCTTCTTCATATATACAAATATATTGAAACACGCACAAGTTTCTGTCTCTTACCCCTTTCTTTCATACCTACTCGCAATATCAATGATCTATTCTCAAATGTGAAGACAGCTGACAACCATCATGGGTGTTACTTTTGTAGTGTTTGTTTCTTTTGACTTTAAGCTAGTTCGACTGAACTTACCAGTTTGCAGCAGTTATTTGGGTACTTCTCATACACCAGCATATTTGAAGCAGAGGTAGTCTGATAAAACTTCTCAAATGTAATTTCAGGAGAGAGATATTCCAGTATTAGTATTTTCTGCTGGACTTGCAGACATAATTGAGGAGGTAAGTACTACAAAGTCCTCATATGATGAGATGAGCTTTGGTTGCAGACTGACACACCTGCTTTGTCTTCTAGGTCTTCCGGCAGAAACTCCACAGATCATTCAAGAACATTAAGGTTGTGTCCAACAGGATGGTCTTCAATGAAGAAGGTCGTCTTGTTTCATTTAAAGGTGATATTGTAATCATCATTTATTCATCCAATGAATTATCATTTGAAGTAATGCAGGATATATGCATTAAATGAATTCTCTACCTCCCTGAAGTTTGTTGCCTGGGGTATGGGATTGCTGTTACTTGACAATATTTGGCTCTTTTGATTGAGACATAATTTGACTGGCATATTCATGTCAATATGGATGGGTCAATCCCTTTTTTTCTATACCATCTTTTGCAATTGATGACTTAGGTTATTGATTGTTTGTCTACATCAAGTACTTAAAGACCTGTGCATTGAAACAAACTATGGTGTAATGTAGGAAAGACTATTCATGTTCTAAACAAAAATGAGCATGCCTTGGACATGGCAGCTCCAGTGCATGACAATTTGGGTGATCCAAATGGATATACTGATGACTATTCGTTGGTGAAGAAGAGGACCAATGTGCTTCTCCTTGGAGATCACATTGGCGACCTTGGAATGTCTGATGGTCTAAACTATGAAAACAGGATTGCTGTTGGATTTCTGTAAGTAGACTTCCTTATCATCTTGCTTTTTGCTTACCATTTTTAGATTTATCTTCTGCTGCATCTATAGCTTAGTTTATCCCCATGGATCTAGACTGTAGAGTACTGAATTTTTACTTTGATACTGTGGGCATCTTGGTGCCAGTGAAATTTGATTAGTTATTCCGATGCAATGAGCGAAGTTCTGAACAATCCATAGGTTGCATTGTTTCTGTTGAACATGCTTTTGGCCTAATATCTTTCAATTGTAAGCTCTCATTGGAAGTTCTGAGCAAATCCTGAGACTTGTCAACGCATGAGGAAATACCCAAACTTTAAGTTGAATTTTTCATTCCCAGTCATCTTTATTAGGCTTATTGTGTTGAATAAGTGCAATTAGATGCACCAAATTCATTACTTATGTGCAGGTGTCATTCTCTTCTAATTCAATTGCTGTACAAGATTAACTAAGCTAAGCTGTACAAGATAAACAAAGTATAGGTTTGGTCCGTAAGAACTCTCTCTAAAGAAAAAAAAAGTTTTTTTTTTGGTTTGAAACCAAAGTTGAGCAACCACAGAAAGTCCATGTTTGTGTTCTACTGGCTTTCCTTAATCAATGCAAAGCCAATGTTTTATCACATGCAACTCGCCCACTGTAAGTTTTTCTTCGAATTAGTGACATGCATAATTAACCAAAGATGGTAGTTCGCTGGTCAAACTGAATGCAAGTGGAAAAATTGCTAAAACCCTTTTAGGAACTTTGTTGTTTACCAGGCACAGTTGTTATTGCTGTACAAGTTTATGTATGAATTAACACAACTTGTTTCACAGGAACAACAACATCGAGAAATCTCTAAAAGATTACTCCGAGGCATTTGATATTGTCTACTTGGTGAGGCAGCTTTTGCATATCAGAATTATTGCTAGCCATATAATTCATTTTTCCATCCTTACATGTTCTACTTTTGATATATCAATTCAATGCAGAATGACGCGCCAATGGTGGGAGTTGTTGAGCTTGTATCTGAACTATGTCCTTAACCAAATGATGTTTTGCTGAGCTTAGAAGCCGCATCCGCCTCCCGCTCTTGCTGAAATCTGGGAATCCTATTCCCCACTTCACTAACCGGCTGGGTTTGTTCAATAAGAAGCAATTTTGTACAGGCTTGACATCAAGCAAGCCAAGCAGCCTTTTGAACCAATATCTCCTTAAGCCAATCCAAACTTGTATGAAGTCCAGAACACATTTGTGAAATGGAATTTCAAATTTGGTTTTGGTCCTCAGAAATTTCTCCCTATCACTTTTGACTTTTCGACCCACCATGATCTTGTTTCTCGTTAATTAAGTAAATCTTGTGGGTAAATCAAATGTAAGGTACGTAAGGTGATGAACTGAACCCATCAACTTCCTGACCTTACTGGACGGTAACGAGAAATCTTTATGCCAATAAAGGCATACAGTATCAACTAGGTGTGGCTATATATTATAGCGATTCAGTTATTCGGTGCGCCTTGTTCGTTCAGCTTTCGGTTTTGGTTAAGTCTACCTGAAAAAGGAAAAATAAAACATCAGATCACATAAAGCGACTGAAATTTATCATTTCATGGAAAAGATTTGTATATGTCTGCATGCCTTTATCGATATCATAATGTTACCTAATTCCAGGTCATGCCATTTGGTTGACTTGGGTATGCCGTGTTATCTTTTGGCACTAACTTTTATGTTTTTTTTTTCTTCTTGGGCTGTATGATTTGTTAGGTGATAGTGATCATCCAAGGAATCTCTCTCATGCCCCATGTTACATGACAAATGGCCGTAGTCGCCAAGGAAAAATGATGCCAACTCAATTCCGTCATAAACAAGATCACCAAGGACATTCAAACAAAGAAACTGAATAAAATGACCAAGAGAATATACAAAGAGTTGGGCTCCACAATGCGTGTCTAGGTGGTTACATCATACAAGAGTAAATCATATTCTGACCAAGTATGAACAGCTATTGCACTTAAGGACTTGTATCATTGGCTTCTCTCTTCTTTTTTTCTGTTTTAGTTACAGGTCATTAGTACAAATTTAGCTTCCATGGGAAAAAAGGGGCTATATTCTACTGACTTCTTGTCTTAACACTTGATGCCTAGAAAATCACTCCTGCCAGCATATGGAGGATCATAACATGTACCAATAACTGCAATTTTGGACCGCAAATTGTAGTGCAAGTTACTGAAAACAAATTTCTGTTTGGAAGGTGCAAACACCAGACTGCAGAAAAGCTCTAGATCTCTCTTGTACACACAAATACTGCTCCCTAGTTAAGGAGATCACATGTCAAACACGGAAAGGAAAATGGATATGGTGTGCTTTTCACCCACATTTGGCAGCATTTCATGTGTCGCATTCATTGAAAATGTACATTGGTTCTCATAATGGAAACCTCTTTATGAGCTTAAAAATGCTATAGCTTTGAACAACACTGCAGCACCAACAGACTACAATTATAAGTATCAGCAGCAGTCAAAATTTTGGCCAAGTCCTTTTCAGAAGCACCATCATAATTCAAAAGCCCCATGGGAATAAGTTCAGTTGTTAACTGAACCTCTGAAAACAAGTAGTGCCTCCACAAGAAGGATCAGAATTCTAACAACTTGATGCTCTGTTGGAAGCATATATACCATACGTATAAACAATAGCACAGAAACAGGTCCAAAACATAGCTAACACATGTGCATTACTCATTGATTAGTAACACAAGGTTCTTGATGGTTACAAATCCGGCACTTGAGAAAAATATGTAGGAGCAAACACCTATTTATACAAAATGCAGGCAGAAAGCTCCTAGGCCTGGACAAAAACCTATAGTAGTTAGTTCATATTAGGCAGGATACGAGCGCAAACATAAAGGACACAAAATCTCCAGCAAGTATGCATGCAGTGGACTGATGTCAGGACAGATCACCATCAGGAAGCTATACAACAGCAACAGCTGGTGCTAGCGCGATCTCCATTGCCGGTGGTGGCTCAGGCCATGAGAACTCAAAAGGGGCTTCGATGGTTAGAATTTGAGGGGCTGAGGTAATCTCCTTTGGGGATGATGCAGTGTAGTGGAACTCTATTTGAAGCCGGTGGTGCAATGGCGTCGACGCCATCAGGCCTTTCTTGATGTCAACCTGTAGTTCCCGGATTGGGATGGCTGCCAAGAAACTCTTGATATACTCCTTGCATGATTCCTTGCCCTTTGAAACCAGTATGTTCTCTTCAGTGCCATCTTCACTGTCCTGCTCAACCGAGGAGCTCCTTGAAGAATCCTTCAGCGGTCCACTTGAGTTAGGACTAGATGGTGCTTTCTCAGGTAGCTTATGAATCATGGTGTCGTTGTCAAACTTCAAAATGTAGGCTTGGTTGCACCCTTCGTAGAGCCTTTCTCCAAGGGTGTCAATTATGTAATACGCATCACGCTCAACCTTGAGCAGAAAAAAGTGGTCATTCCAGCTCACTATATATAGATTAGGGTTATCACTTGATGAGTACTCAGCTGCTTTGCTAATCTCAGCCCAGATGCTATCAAATGACATTGCTCCATCAAGGAAATCAAATCTGTGCATGTCATCGGCACCTTCAGGTTGGAAGAATCCAATAAAAGACTTGCTAGAAGAAACTGTGAGGGGGCGGATCTTGGCCTGAAGGACAGTTTCAAGATCAAAGTGCTTGTCAGGAAAACGCTCTCGGTACATCAGATTCTCACAAAGGTTTCTCCACTCTAATGATCCTTCACGGATTAAACTGTCAAATTGTGATTGTATAGGCATTATATCCTGGTTTGATTGGAACCAGTCCGCAATAACAGCCACAAGTGCTGTGCAAGCACTCTCCCCAGCAGCCCGCTCACTTCTCTGGTCTATTGATGCAAAGAAAACATGGGAAGAGAGCTTCAGATGGCCATCACGGCTAACTATCTCTTTCAATTCCCAATTCCCAACAACGAAGTTGTCATCACCAAATTCTGAAACCATACCATTAATGGACCCATCTTCACCCCTTGATCCCTGCAATTGAAAGATGTACAGTTAAGAACATGTATCACAGACACTCAAAACTAGTTCTATGATTTAGAAACAAGCCATTATTTAAAGATGCAGATGATGAATTGTAAAATTTACCTCTGAAACAGATCCATCAGAAGAGGTTAGCAGCCGTCGATCATAGTCAATATCATCACCTCCCTCTTCTCCATATGCTTTCTTCAACAGAGGTTCGCCTTTTGCCTTCAGTGATCGCAAACTCAACTTCCTCTTTCTCCAAGGAAGGATACTCCGTTTTACAGTTGGCAGCATGGTTTCCTCAACAGTTGATGATGGCTTTCCCTCTACATGGTAACCGGCATCAGATTTGCGGTGACTATAATAGATCCAGTCCTCATGCTCCCCATCAATCTTTGCATGAGCATAAACTAGGCCGCCGACATAGTTGACAGACTGCAGTGAGCCATAACTGAAGGACTTCCTGACAGTTGAATCCCCAACTTCATCTTGCTGTGCCCTGTCATCCAAATCGTCATCCAGAGACTCGATGTCACATGGATATTCAGCACCATCACTGTTAACATAGCATTTTTCTTCACTGCTTTCATCATCTTGGGATGTCTTCTTGGACCTTCGTGTCGACACCAGATCAGTGAGGATTTTCACCTTTCTCAGCCCGGCTCTGATAACTGAAACCTCATCTTTTCCTACTGGAGCAGAATCACCAGAGGATGGGGATAATGGAGCGGCCATAGCAGACCTTTGTGAAGCATCAGATGTTTCCTGAAAAGCCCTTAATTCCACCATACCCAGGGTGAGCTGCAAGAAAGAAAAGGTTTTGATTGTCAGACCAGATGGAATTCGAACACGAATTGTGAACTAAAGCTTGTTAGCACCACAAACTTACATGTAGCGAGGGAGCTGACTCAGCTGAACCATTTGGCACGGACAATGGGAGAATTATCTCAATATTCTCTTCGGCGGCGGATGCATAATCTGCTAGGTTAAGGGAAGCAGTTCCAAGAATTGATGGCTTGATCTTTGGTCCTCTGTTGGCAGCCTAAATCGAGAGAGAACAAATGAAAGTCACAGTCAGACTCGCTAGCAGAAGTAACTGAAAACAAACTCATCAGCAGAAATCGCTCAAGAAAAAAATGTGTAGAACAAAAAAAAATGCATACTATTAAATGACACGTTTCCGATGGCCTTGACAAGAACCATCTTGTCCACATTTGTTCACACCTTGTTCGCATTCTCATATAGGTACAAGGTTATTATCAAGAAGTTCTAACTGGTTCTTATTAACGAGAATATCTCAGTGCAGAGGTAAGAAATGTAAAATTTTCCATTATACAAAATATTTTGATTATTACGCGATTCATAGCCATCAACTACTATTATATTATATATCCATTCATTCTTCAGAACCAAAATGAAATCTTTTTCCCATGTAAGACGAATCTAAAACACACAAATCATATCAGCAAGGAGAAGCAAAAAAAAAAAAAAAGTAGCCAATACCCTATCCATAGACCAGACAAATTAAATTAAGTAAAATTGATAACATAGATAGGTAACAGTGCAATTTTTGGAGCACAATAATAGAGGGAAAAAAAGAAAACAACAAAAAAGAATTTCAACAAACAAATCTATTCTGAGAAAGTGAGACAAGAAAAAGACAAAAAGAAAAAAAAACTATGATGCCAAAAAAATCCACATAAATAATAATTATAGTCTTGTCTCTAAATTCATGTGAAGAACATAGACGGTCTACTACTAGTAGGAAGAAGAAGAAAATGCTCACAGTGAACACGGAGAAGGCGAGCTCCCATGGCTGGAACGCGGCGTGCTCCCGGTGCGACGCGGCAGCGAGCGTCACCGTGCTCTCGAACTCCTCCTCCCACGCAGCCACCACCACGCCCGCCGCGTCTCCGGCGCCCGCGGCGGCAGCGGCATCGTCGGCGGCGGTGGCGCAGGCAACCACCGCGGCCGCCTCCGCCTCCGCCTCCCGCGTGCGGTTGCGCCGCACCGCGGTGCGGCGCAGCGAGCTGAGGGGCGACGCCTTGGGCCCCTTCCACCTCACCTCCGCCGCAACCCTCGTCGGCGGCGCCTCTGCCTCCGCCGAAGCCGCGTGCTCCGCCGCCGCGGCGCATGGCTGCTGGAGCCCCTCCGCCCGCCGCACCACCAGCCGGACCCGGAACTTGCGCGCCGCCGGCGGGCGCGGCCACCGCATCATCCTCGCCACCATCGAACTAACTAAAAACTGGAGTAGCTCTCTCTGTCTCCCAAACTTTGACCAAAATTACTCGGAGAAAAAAACCCGTGGAATCCCAAACCTCCGCTCGCTCAAACAAGCCAAGAACCACCAAACCAATCGAAATGCCGAGCAAGAAAGAATCAATCCGGGATTCCGAACCCCAAATCGGACCCCCAAACCAAAACCCCAAGAAACCCCCTTTTTCCTCCTCCAAGAACCGAAGAATCGGTCAGGAACAGCTTCGAATTGGGGTGGTGGAGGCACAAGGTGAGATTTTGAGGGGACAAGCTTGGATTTTGACTCGGCGGAAGCGGAGGAGGGTAGAGGAAATTGGTTGGGGGAGGAGGAGGAGGTGGAGATGGTGGTGATGGTACACGAGGAGAGAGAGGTTGCAGGAGGTGGTAATAAATAGGGTGGGGAGGAACGTTGTTGGGGCAGGAGGGGGGGGGGGGGGGGTGTTGTTGTGACTGGCTTGCTTGGTTTCTTTCTCGCTTGTTTTTATTCTCCTCTTTTGCTTGCTTGTCGTTAGATTTGGGTGTGGGCCCCACTGCAGACTTTTTTCCTTTCTTTTCCTATGCTGTCTTTTTTTAATTATATTTTTCCATCCATTTCATTTTCCAGTTCTTTAAAGGCTGCGTACGAGAGCAGTTATAAACTAAAAACTATGGTTGTGTTTAGTTCACATCAAAATTGGAAGTTTGGTTAAAATTAGAATGATGTGACGGAAATGTTGGAAGTTTATGTTTATAGGAAAGTTTTGATGTGATGAAAAAGTTGAAAGTTTGAAGAATTATTTTGGAACTAAACACGGCCTATAAAGAGAAAAAAAAAGACCATCATTTTTCGTGCGTACGTTTTCCAAACGGTTAAACACTGTGATTTTTAATATTTTTTTAGAAAAGTTGTTTAAAAAAATAATATTAATTCATTTTTAAGTTTAAAATTATCAATACTTAATTTGTTACACACTAATAGTTAACCTCGTTTTGCATGTCTTCTCAATCTTCTCTATTTCTTTTCTTCTAAAAATGGAATATTCTCTTCAATAGAAAATACCGTTTTGATGCCTGATAAACTGAAAAAAAAGTTTTTGAGACTAGGTATACTACTTTCGATAGGATATCTCTGAGGAAGAAAAAAAACTTATTAATACAGCTACAGTATAGTTGTAATATAATATATTGTAAGCTACAACGCAACTTTTATATAATTTGGTTGGAAATAAACAAGAAATGTGGCACGACGAGTAGCTTGGAAGGCTGACACATATAAACAACAGTACCTTTTTTAAATCTCTGATACAAGAAAAGAAATAGCCCTTATTTTCTTGAGGTTGTAAAAAAATGTATTGTTTTTTTTTCTACGGCGTGAAACATGGCATTGGTAAAATTGATGAAGTGGATATAGATGCTCTGGCTACTCCATTATTGTCCTTGTGGTTTGTGGTGATGGATTGGCCTCGCCAAGAACCAAGCGTTGGTAAAAGGGCAAAGAGCGTTTTGTTTACGTCGTCTTGCGTTGGTAATCACCACGAGAGCATCTACTGGACTACCACTACTAGCAGCAGCATCTACCGATGGATCCCACCGTTTCTCGTTACTGGTTGGTAAGTAATAAGAGTAGTTTAACACTATTTATCTTTAACGTTTCATCGTTTATTTTATTTAAATAAATTTTATGATTACTATTTTTATTATTATTAGATGATAAAACATGAATAGTACTTTATGTGTGACTAATTTTTTTAAAATTTTTAATAATTTTTTTAAATAAGACGGACGGTCAAATATTGGACACGGATTTTCACCTCTGCATTTATTTTGGGACGGAGGTAGTACGTGTGTTGGTGGTGAGCTTCGTCCTGTACATACCGCCGTACCATTTTGAAAATGTTTTTGGATTCATTCGAGATTGCCAAATTGTTTCGAATTGTTTGGTCTCACACTCCGGATCTGTTCGGCAGTTGTCCTTGTTAATTCTTTAATCTGAAGGCACAATCATTGGTAGTACCTCTGTAACTGTTCGATCAGTGTTCAGAATTTGAGATGGTTGTTTTATCTTGAAAATATATTTACTTGAATTTGTTGAACAGCTTGCAATAGAGTTTCAGGTACTAGCTACATATGTCTTGTTTCAGGTAGCTCTACCAATTTGTTGGGAGAAGATACAGTTATTAGAAGCTCTCCTAAAACCAGGGTCGGCCCTAGGGGGAGGGGGGGTTAGGCCGTGCGGCCGCCTGAGGCCCCCAAAATCTAGGGCCCCCTATATACACATATAGTATACTATATAATTCTAGTCCATGGGCCATGTGCCTATATTAAGTTAGACAACTGAATAGCCCAATATAGAAAATGAATTTTAGTCCATCGTCAGGCCTGTCTCAGCGAAACCGAAGCGATCTTCATCTGACTCTCGTCGCTTCGCCTCGATCACATCACGCCACTCGCGTCGTGCCGTCTCGATCACATCACACCGCTCGCTGCTCCTGCGCTCTCGGCGACTTCTCGACTTCTCGGCGTCTCGCAAACAGAAGCAACAAGTCGGCAAATCGCGGCTCGCCAGTAGCCACACTCGTGTCGATCGTCCGCCGATCGCCTTCTCTGCTCGTTACTGCTATTTATTTCTCTTTGAAATTTCATAATATTATATATAGATAATTTTATCACAACGAATATTCAATGTTGTGTGTTTATAAGACTATATAAATATATATTAGTTTATGTATATATATAGGGGCATCTATATAAGTTTTTGCCCTGGGGCCCCAAGACCCTAGGACCGGCCCTGCCTAAGACCATCACAGTAGTATAGCCATCTACTAGCTCCAAATCATCTATAGCCAATATAATAGCCAATTCATACAATAGTTGCTTACTATACTATTAATACATGGTCCTACCTGTCATACACACATTACGTCTTGGAATCTGTGCTGCAGCTGGCTACAGATCTGTAGCCTGCTGCTCTTCTCTCTCTTCTTTTATCTTTTTAACATATGTTTATAGCTAGCTTATAGCCTGCTATTGTACCTGCTCTAAGTAGTACTCCCTCCATTCCAAATTAATTTACATATAGTTTTTTTTAAAATTATTCCAAAATAATCCGCATATTTGTGTTCATTTATTAAGTCTATTCGTTATTTGTGCGTGGGAGTAAATGGACATCGGAGTAAATGGAGTAGTACGTGTGTTGGTGGTGAGCTTCGTACTGTACATACCGCCGTACCATTTTGAAAATGTTTTTGGATTCATTCGAGATTGCCAAATTGTTTCGAGTTGTTTGGTCTCACACTCCGGATCTGTTTGGCAGTTGTCCTTGTTAATTCTTTAATCTGAAGGCACAATCATGGCAGTACCTCTGTTCGATCAGTGTTCAGAATTTGAGATGGTTATTTTATCTTGAAAATATATTTACTTGAATTTGTTGAACAGCTTGCAATGGAGTTCCAGGTACTAGCTACATATGTCTTATTTCAGGTAGCTCTACCAATTTATTAGGAGAAGATGCAGTAACTGGAAGCTCTCCTAAGACCATTCACAGTAGTAGACCTCCGTGGCGTTCAGCCTCAACACCAAAAGACGAATATTCGTTACCACATCCTCCATCCGCGAAATCTCCACGCGTAGCCAACTTGGGCCATGGGTTGCTCGTCAGGTTTGCAGGTGGAGCCCACACTTGAGCTTGCCTTGCCGTCAGGGAAGGGAGAGGGAGGAGAGAGACCTCGTCGCCATCGTCGACCATCCCTGCGCTCCGCGCTGTCGAGCTTGTTGGTCAAGGGAGGAGAGCTGCCGGGGGCTCTCCGGCTTGATAGGGAAGGCAGTGGAGCCGGAGAAGCTCGCTACTCCACGCAGCCGCCGGGGAGCCCCTACTCCGCTCGACACCGGACTGCGTCGCCCCGACCTCGTCGCAGAGAGGGCAGGGGGGTGGAGAGGCGACGAAGACGAGGACGGATCCGTCGTCGATCCGTCGCTGAGCCACCTCGAGTGCCACCTTGCCCTGTCCACCCCATTCTGCGCCGCGGCGGCTGGAGGAGGAGAGGCGTGGCGGCCGGACGAGGAGGAGGGATGCGCGACGGAGGAAATCAGAAGGGGAGAGGGAGGCGACGGAGAGGCAGAGGAGCTCGAGCATGAGGTCGAGGCCGACATTGATTCGGAGCTGGCACCGTTGCTGCTCGGGCTGCCCCACTGCTCGGCACTGTTGCTGCATGGACCGTCCCGCCGACCGCCGAATTTGCCGATAGAGAGAAAGAGAGAGGAGAGAGATGGAAGGCCGAAAAGGGAAAGAAGAAAGAGAGAGGGGAAGATGAAAAGGGAAATAGATGGTACTGGTGGGACCCACTATAATTAACTTGGACCGTGGAATATGTAGCTTAACACGTTCTTCGTCTAGGTGATATGTAACAACAAATATGAGGGACACACTGCTATTGCCCTATAAAGACCCATAGACGAATTCCTAGGCAATTGTAGTGATGTTATTTGATAATGCGGTGGAACTTTCTCTCTGTGGTTAGGAGAGAACCAAGCAACCGATCGAGTCAATATGTTTATTTTCTGATATTGACATGTTTAATTGGGTCGTTGTTCTAATTTAATCGGGTTTTCACTTATTCTAATTAATGTACTTGACAGGGTTACATCTTCAATTAATATGGTTGACTGATTGTTACCTTAATTATAAGGTTTACTTATTTATAATGTGCTCCAATTTAAGAAATAAGTGCTTTTATGATCAACATACATCCGCATGGCAAATATCATCGCAGTTAAATTCACAAATTCCTTTTCTCATGATTGAAGAATCCTACTCTCTTGGCCTAGAAAATATTCACTATTGCATGCAATTTTCTTGGTCGTTGTATTCAACAAAAATCAACTTGCCTACTGGCTACAGCATAGTAGTAGATCACACATACTCCATCTATCCCATAATGTAAGACATGATCAAACTTGACACGGTCTTCAAGACTAATGTTTGTCTTATAATTTCTTATATACTATAAGGTTTGTAGTAACAAAATAATAATCATATGAAAGTAAATTCAAATGTGAATTCAATGATATAATTTTTAGCAAGTAAAATTTAATTTATATTGTACTAAACGTTGGTTAAAATGTTTTGAATGTGAAATCTTGAAATATGTGGGAACTTTATATTATGGGATGGAGAGAGTATATAATTGATCCAGTGCCTAATTGCTCAATAAACAACTAGACCTCCAATCTTTCGGTAGAATATATGTTTAGTATATATAGCAAGCAATATGATTGATCCATGAGAGCTTGCAAACCACACATAGGTGAATCCACCCCTCCAGCTGGAATGAAGAGGACATCTTGTGTTATTGTTCCTTGGAATAGATGCCTTTGCTCGTCTAAGAATTTATAAAAGCATGATTCCATCCAAGCTTACCACATTTATTCTACTTGTCT